GATATAGTCCATAAAAAATTTTCTAATCTTGTTAGAGAGGTTGAAGGTTTACATGCAAATCCAAAAACCCTGGCTAGATACTATAGAATATGACTTTCTGTAAGGCACATAGTTGTTAGATTCACCAAGATCAATGCAAAAGAAAAGTTCTTAAGGGCCTTTAGAGAGAAGGGTCGAGTCACATACAGAAGGAACCCCATCAAGCTAGCAGCAGTCCTCTCAGCAAAAACTTTACAAACCAGAAGACTAGGGGTCTGTCTTCACTGTTCTTAAATAAAAGAAATGCCAACCAAGAATTTCACATCTTGCAAAACTAAGCTTATAAGTGAAGGAGAAATAAAATCCTTCTCAGACAAGCAAACACTAGGGAAATTCATTTCAACTAGACCAGCTTTACCAGTCTTTTAGGAAATGCTAAACATGGAACCAAAATATGACATCTGTTGCCATAAAAACGCACTTAGCCACACAGTCCCAGGCACTATAAAGCAATCATATAATCAAGTCTACATAATAACTAGCTAACAACATGATGACAGAATCAAAATCTCGCATATCAATACTAATCCTTAATATTAATTTGCTAAATGTCCCACTTAAAAGGCATAGAATGTCAAGCTGGATCAAAAGAATACCCACCCATCTGCTCTCTTCAACAGATCTATCTCACAAGTGATGACACCCACAGGCTAAAAGTAAAGTGATGGAGTAAGACCTAACATGCAAACACACACACAAAAGAACAGGAGTCACTATTATATCAGATAAAATATATTTTAAACAGTAAAAATTAAGAAGGACAAAGGAGGGCACTACATAACAATAGAAGGTACAACCCAATAAGAAGACTTAACTATCTTAAATATATACACACCCGACACTGGAGGACCCAGATTCATAAAACAAGTTCTTCTTGGCCCCTGAAAAGACTTAAACAACCACACAATAATAGTGGGAGACTTCAACACTCCATTGACAGCATTAGACAGATCATCGAGGCAGAATACTAACAAAGAAACTCTGGATTTAAACTCAATGCTTAATCAATTGAACATAACAGACATCTGTGGAACATTCCACCCAGCAACCACAGAATATACATTATTTTCATCTCCACATGAAACTTGTTCTAAGATTGACCACATCTTTGGTTATAAAGCGAGTCTCAATAAATTAAAAAAATTTTAAACAAGACCAAAAATGCATTATCAGACCACAGTGCAATAAAAGTAGAAATCAATACCAAGGAGATCTCTCAAAACTACAAAATTCATGGAAATTAAACAACCTGCTCCTGAATAACTTTTGAGTGAACATCAAAATTAAAACAGAAGTAAAAAATTTTTTTTGAGATTAATGAAAACAGGAACACAGCTTATCAAAATCTCCGGATGCAGTTAAAGCAGTGTTAAAGAGGAAAGGCTATAGCACTAACTGGCTTCATTGAAAAGTTAGAATAATATCAAATTAACAATCTAATTTTGCACCTGAAGGAACTAGAGAAAAATCCAAACCAACCCCAAAGGTGGCAGAAAAAAATAACTAAAATTGAAGAAGAAGAATTGAATAAAATTGAGATGTAAAAATTCATACAAAAGATCAATGAAACTAAGGATTTAGTTTTTGAAAAAAATAAACAAGATTGATAGACTTCTAGCTAGATTAACAAAGATAAAAGTGAAGATTCACATAAATACAATCAGAAATGAACAAGATGACGTTACAACCAATACCACAGAAATACAAAAGATTCTTGAGAATACTATGAAAACACTATGCACACAAATTAGAAAATCTAGAGGAAATAGATAAATACCTGGAATCACACAATCTTTTGGGATTGGATCAGTAAGAGATTGAATCCCTGAATAGACCAATATCAAGCACTGATATTGAATCAGGAATAAGAAACCTAGCAACCAAAAAAAAATCTAAAACCAGATGGACTCACAGCTGAATTCTATCAGATGTACAAAGAAGAAATAGTACCAGACCTACTGAAATTATTCAAAAATATCAAGAAGTAGGGGCTCTTCCCTACCTCATTCTATGATGCCAACATTAGTCTAATGCCAAAATTTGGCAGAGACACAATGAAACCAAAAAACTTCAGGCCAATATCCATGATAAGCATAGATGCAAAAATCATTTACAAAATACTAGCAAATCCAGCAGCACGTCAGAAAGTTAATACACCATAATCAAGTAGACTTCCTTCCTGGAGTGCAAGGCTGACTCAACATATATAAATCCATAAATATCATTTACTACATAAACAGAATTAAGAGCAAAAACCATATGATAATTTCAATGGACACAGAAAAAGCTTTTAATACAACATCTTTCTGTGATAAAAACCTTCAACAGACTAGAGGTCAAATAAACACATTTCAAAATAATAAAAGCCATCTATTATGAATCCACATCCAACATCATATTGAATATGTAGAAGTTGGAACCATTCCCCTTGAGAACTGGAATAATACAAGGATGCCCACTCTTATCACTCCTATGCAACATAGTACTGGAAGTCCTAGCCAGAGCAATTAGGCAAGATAAAGAAATAAAAGCATCCAAATAAGAAAAGAAAAAGTCAAACTCTTTCTCTTCACTGACAATATGATTCTATACCTAGAAAACCCTAAATATTTTGCCAAAAGGCTCCTAGAATGGATAAACCATTTTTGTAAGGGTAAGGATACAAAAATCATCACACAAAACATGTAGCATTTCTATACACCAGTATTATCCAGGCTAAGAGTCAAATCAAGAACACAATACCATTTATAATAGCCATGTAGAAAATATAATACCTAGGAATACAGCTAACTAAGGCAGTGAAAGATATCTACAAGGAAAACTACAAAACAATGCTGAAAGAAATCAGAGATAACACAAATAAATGAAAAAACATTCTATGCTCTTGGATAGGAAGAATCAATATCATTAAAATGATCATATTGCCCAAAGCAATGTACAGATTCAATGCTATCTTTATCAAACTACCAATGTTATCCTTCACAGAATTAGGAAAAAAAAAACTATTTTAAAACTCCTATGGAACCCAAAAAAGAGCCTAAATAACCAAGGCAATCGTAAACAAAAAGAATGAAGCCATAGGAATCACACCACCTGACTTCAAACTATACTATAAAGTCAAAGAACCCAAACAGCATGGTACTGGTACAAAAACAGATACATAGAACAGTGAAACAGAATGGAAAACTCAGAAATAAAGCTGCTTACTTAGAATCGTCTTCTCTTTGACAAGGTCCACAAAAGCAATCAATGGGGAAAGAATTCTCTATTCTACAAATGGTGCTGAGATAACTGACTAGCCATATAAAGAAGAATAAAACTGGACCCTTACCTTTTACTATATACAAAAATTAACTCAAGATGAATTATATTAACTCAAGATGACTTAAATGTCAGACGTCAAACTATAAAAAACCCTAGAAGAGAACCCAGGATATACCGTTTTAAGCATAAGCCTTGGCAGAGTTTTTGTCTATGTCCTCAAAAGCAATTGCAACAAAAATAAAACTTGACAAGTGGAACCTAATTAAGGAGTTTTGCACAGCAAAGGAAACTATCAATAGAGTAAACAGACAATTCCCGGAATGAGGAAAAATATTCACAAACTATGTATCTAACAAAGGCAAAGGTGTAATATTCAGAACCTATAAGGAAACTAATCAACAAGCAAGAACCAAATAACCCAATTAAAAAATGGGCAAAGTATGTGATAAGACACTTTCCCAAAGAAGACATACTAGTGACCTATGAACATGGAAAAATACTCATCATCACCAATCATCAGATAAATGCAAGTCAAAAACCACAATGAGATACCATCTCATAGCAATCAGAATGGCTATTATTAAAAAGTAAAAAAACAAAAAACAAAAAACAAAACAAACAAAAAAACAGATGCTGGGGAATCTGCAGAGGAAAAGGAATGCTTACTCACTTTTGGTGGAAATGCAAATATTTCAACTATTGTGGAGAGCAGTTTGGAGATTTCTCAAAGAACTTAAAACAAAACCACCATTTGACCCAGCAATCTTCTTACTGAGTATATAACTTGTGTATGTTTGTTCTCACATTGCTATAAAGTACTACCTAAGACTGAGTAATTTATAAAGAAAAGAGGTTTAATTGGCTCATGGTTCTTCAGGCTGTACAGATACCATGGCTGAGGAGGCCTCAGGAAACTTACAATCATGGCAGGAGGCAAAGAGAAAAGAGGTACATCTTACATGTCTGGAGAAGGAGGAAGAGAGCACAGGGTGAGGTGCTACACACTTAAACAAACAAAAAAACACAGATCTCATGATAACTCACTCAATATCATGAGAATAGCAAGGAGGAAGTTTGCCTCCATGATCCAATCACCTCCCACCAGGCCCCTTTTTCAACATTGGAGATTGCAATTCAATATGAGATTTGGGCAGGGACTCAAATTCAAACCATATTATAACCGAGAGAAAAATAGATCATTATACTGAAAAGATGTGTGCACTTGTATGTTCATTACCACACTATTTGCAATAGCAAAGACATGAAGTCAGCCTAGGTACCCATTAATGGTGGATTAGCTTAAAAAAAAAAAAGTGGTACTTGTACACCATGGATTACAACACAGCCAGAAAAAAGAATGAAATTATGTCCTTCGCGGTGACATGGATGAACCTGAAGGCCATAATCCTAAGTGACACAGAAACACAAAATAAAATACCACAGGTTCTTACTTATAAGTGGGAGCTAAATACTGAGCACACATGGACATAAACATGGAAATAACAGACACTGTGGACTACTAGAAGGGGAGGGTTGGAAAGTACCTCTAGGGTACACTGTGGACTACTGGTAGGGGAGGGTTTGAAAAACTACCTATTGGTAGTTTACTAACTGGATGCAATATTTAACAATACATAATAAACCTGCAAACACAACCCCTGTATCTGAAATAAAAGTTAAATTAAAAAATAAAAATAGTGCTCGCTTTGGCAGCACATATACTAAAATTGGAACGATACAGGGAGATTAGCATGGCTCCTACAAAGGGATAACAGGCAAATTCGTCAAGTGTTCCATATTTTTCAACTCAATGAAATAAGATGCGGAGACAAGATTAGAGAAAAAAAAGTGAAAAGAAATGAAAAAAGCCTACAAGAAATATGAGATTATGTGAAAAGATCTAATCTACATTTGATTGGTGTACCTAAGTGTGACGGAGAGAATGAATCCAAGCTGGAAAACACTCTTCAGGATATTATCCAGGAGAACTTCCCAACCTAGCAAGGCAGGCCAATATTCAAGTCCAGGAAATACAGAGAACACCACAAAGATATTCCTCAAGAAGAGCAACCCCAAAGCACATAATCGTCAGATTCACCAGGGTTGAAATGAAGGAAAAAATGCTAAGGGCAGCCAGAGAGAAAGGTCGGGTTACCCACAAAGGGAAGCCCATCAGACTCACAGCAGATCTCTCAGCAGAGATCCCACAAGCCAGAAGAGAGTGGGGGCCAATATTCAACATCCTTAAAGAAAAGAACATTCAACCTAGAATTTCATTTCCAGCCAAACTAAGATTCATAAGTGAAGGAGAAATAAAATCCTTTATGAACAGGCAATTGCACCAGGCCTGCCTTACAAGAGCTCCTGAAAGAAGCACTAAACATAAAAAGGAACAATCAGTACCAGTCACACCAAAAATGTACCAAGTGGTATAGAGCATTGACACAATGAAGAAATTGCATCAACTAATGGGCAAAACAAACAGCTAGCATCAAAATGGCAGGATCAAATTCACAGATAACAATATTAACCTTAAATGTAAATGGGCTAAATGCCCCAATCAAAAGACACAGACTGGCAAATTGTATAAAATGTCAAAAACCATCTGTGTACTGTATTTAAGAAAACCATCTCACATGCAAGAACACATATAAGCTCAAAATAAAGGGATGGAGGAAGATTACCAATCAAATGGACAGCAAAATAAATAAATAAATAAATAAATAAATAAATAAATAAAGCAGCAGTTGCAATCCTAGTCTCTGATAAAATAGACTGTAAAGCAAAAAAGATCAAAAGAGACAAAGAAGGGCATTACATAGTAGTAAAAGGATCAATGCAACAAGAAGAGCTAACTATCCTAAATACATACACTAATACAGGAGCATGCAGATACATAAAGCAAGTTATTAATGACCTACAAAGAGACTTAGACGCCCACACAATAATAGTGGGAGACTTTAACACTCCACTGTCAATATTAGACAGATCAATGAGACAGAAAATTAACAAGGATATCCTGGACTTGAACTCAGATCTCGGCTAAGCAAACCTAATAGACATCTACAGAATTCTGCACCCCAAATCCACAGAATATACATTATTCTCAGCACCACATCATACCTACTCTAAAACTGACCACATAATTGGAAGTAAATCACTCCTCAGCAAATGCAAAAAAATGGAAATAATAAAAGTCTCTCAGACCACAGTGCAATCAAATTAGAACTCAAGATTAAGAAAAAAACTCAGAACTGCACAACCTCATGGAAATTGAATAATTGATTCTTGAATGTTGACTGGATAAACAATGAAATGAAGAGAGAAATAAAGATATTCTTCAAAACCAGCGACAATGAAGACATAATGTACCAGCATCTCTGGGACACGTTTAAAGCAGTGTCTAGAGGAAAATTTATAGCAATAAATGCCCACATGAGAAGCAAGGAAAGATCTAAAATTGATACCTTAACATCAAAATTGAAAGAGCTAGAGAAGCAAGATCAAAAATTCAAAAGCTAGCAAAAGACAAGAAATTTCTAATATGAGAGCAGAACTGAAGGAGATAGAGGCACAAAAAAAGTCTTCCAAAAATCAATAAATCCAGAAGCTGGTTCTTTGTAAAGTTCAAAAAAATAGAGCACTAGCTAGATTAGTAAAAAAGAAAAGAGAGAATAATCAAATAGATGCAATAAAAAACATTAAAGGGGATATCACCACCTATTCCACAGAAATACAAACTACCATCAAAGATTACTACAAAAAACTCTATGCACATAAACCAGTAAACCTGGAAAAAATGGATAAATTCCTGGGCACTTGCATACACCTAAGCTTAAACCAGGAAAAAGTTGAAACCCTGAATGGACCAACAACAAGGGCTGAAGTTGAGGCATCAATTAGTAGACTACCAACCAAAAAAAGCCCAGGTCCAGATGTGTTCACAACCAAATTCTACCAAACATACAAAGAGGAGCTGGTACCACTCCTTCAGAAAATATTCCAAAAAATCCAAAAGTGGGAATTCTTCCCAAAACATTTTATGAGACCAACATCATACTGTTACTACAACCCTGCAGAGAGTCAACAAAAAAAGGAAACTTCAGGCCAATATCCATGATGAACATAGATGCAAAACCTTCAATAAAATACTGACAAACTGGCTGCAATAGCACATCAAAGAGCTTATCCAACACGATCAAGTAGGCTTCATCCCAGGAATACAAGGCTCGTTTAACATATGCAGGTCTATAAACATAATCCACCACATAAACAGAACCAAAGACAAAAACCACGTGATCCTCTCAATAGATGCAGAGAAGGCCTTCGACAGAATTCAACAGCACTGTTTTCTAAATTATCTCAATAAACTAGGTTTAGATGGAATGTATCTCAAAATGATAGAAGCTATTTATGACAAGACCCCAGCCAATATCATACTGAATGGGAAAAAAACTGGAAGCATTCCCTTTGAAATCTGGCACTGGACAAATTTGCCCCCTCTCACCACTCCTATTCAATATAGTATTGGAAGTTCTAGCCAGAGCAATCAGGCAAGAAAAAGAAATAAAGGGTATTCAACTAGGAAAGGAGTAAATCAAATTGTCTCTATTTGCAGACAACATGATTGTATAGTTAGAAGACCCCATCGTTTCAGCCCCAAATCTCCAGAAACTAATAGGCAACTTCAGCAAAGTCTCAGGATACAAAATCAATGTGCAGAAATCACAAGTATTCCTATACACCAATAACAGACTTAAAGAGAGCCAAATCAAGAACGAACTGCCATTCACAATTGCTACAAAGAGAATTAAATACCTAGGAATACTAACAAAGGATGTAAAGGACCTCTTTGAGGAGAACTACAAACCACTGCTCAGTGAAATAAGAGAGGACACAAACAGGTGGAAAAACATTCCATGTTCATGGTTAGGAAGAATCAATATTGTAAAAATGGCCATACTACCGAGAGTAATTTACAGATTCAATGCTATCCCCATCAAGCTACCTATGACCCTCTTCACTGAACTGGAAAAAAACCACCTTAAACTTCATATAGAAACAAAAGAGAGCCCACATAGCCAAGACAATTCTAAGCAAAAAGAACAAAGCTGGAGGCATCACCCTACCTGACCTCACACTTTACCACAAGGGTACAGTAATCAAAACATCTTGGTACTGGTACCAAACTAGAGATATGGACCAATGGAACAGGACAGAGGCAATGAAGGCAACACCACACATCTGCAACCATCTGATCTTTGACAAACCTGGCTAAAACAAGCAATGAGTAAAGGAATCCCTGTTTAATAAATGGTGTTGGGAAAACTGGCTAGCCTGTGCAGAAAACAGAAACTGGACCCCTTCCTGACACCTTATACTAAAATTAACTCCAGATGGATTAAAAACTTAAACATAAGACCTAGCACCATAAAAACCCTAGAAGAAAACCTAGACAAAACCATTCAGGACATATGCATAGGCAAGGATTTCATGACAAACACCAAAAGCATTGGCAACAAAAGCCAAAATAGACAAGTAGGATCTAATTAAACTCCAGAGCTTCTGTACAGCAACAGATACAATCATTAGAGTAAACCAGAAACCAACAGAATGGGAAAAAATATTTGTAATCTACCCATCTGACAAAGGGCTAATACCCAGAATCTACAAAGAACTAAAACAGATTTACAAGGAAAAACAAACATACCCATTCAAAAGTGGGCAAAGCACATGAACAGACACTTTTCAAAAGAAGACAACAAATAATGAAGACAACAAATATATGAAAAAATGCTCATCATCACTGGTCATTAGAGAACTGCAAATCAAAACCACATTGAGATACCATCTCTCGCCATTCAGAATGGTGATCATTAAAATATCGAGACAACAGATGCTGGAGGGGATGTGGAGAAATAGGAACAGTTTTACACTGTTGGTGGGAGTGTAAATTAGTGCAACCATTGTGGAAGACAGCGTAGTGATTCCTCAAGGACCTAGAAATTGAAATTCCATTTGACCCAGCAATCTCATTGCTGGGTATATATCCAAAGGATTATAAATCATTCTTTCATAAAGACACATGCACACGTATGTTCATTGTGGCACTATTTACAATAGCAAAGACCTGGAACAAACCCAAATGCCCATCAATGATAGACTGGACAAAGAAAATGTGGCACATATGCACCATAGAATACTCTGTAGCCATAAAAAACGATGAGTTTGTGTCCTTTGTAGGGACATGGATGAATCTGGGCACCATCATTCTCAGCAAACTGACACAAGAACAGAAAATCAAACACCACATGTTCTCACTTATAGGCGGCTGTTGAGCAATGAGAACACTGGACACAGGGAGGGGAGCATCACACACTAGGGTCTGTTGGTGTGGGACAGGTGTGGGTAGGAATTTTGGGGAAGGATAACATGGGGAGAAATGCTAGGTATAGGTGACAGGAGGATGGAGACAGCAAACCACATTTCCTTGTGTGTACCTGTGCAACAATTCTGCATATGTACCCCAGAATCTAAAGTACAATAAAATATATATGGAGAGAATATAAAATAAAAAATAAAAATAAAAGTCATTGCCATACCCAATGTCATCCAGATTTTCTCTTATATTATCTCCTACCAGTTTTGTGATTTTGCATTTTACATTTAGGTCTGCATTGTATATTGAGTTCATTTTTGTGAAGGGTGTAAGGTTTGTGTCTAGATTGCTTTTCTTGTTTTTGAATATTGATGTTCAGCTGCTGTAGCACCATTTATTGAATAGACCATCTTTTCTTTGATTT